TTTATTTTATTTTATTTTATTTTATTTTATTTTATTTTATTTTATTTTATTTTGTGGTTTTTCGAGACAGGGTTTCTCTGTATAGCCTTGGCTGTCCTGGAACTCACTCTGTAGACCAGGCTGGCCTCGAACTCAGCAATCCACCTGCCTCTGCCTCCCAAGCACTGGGATTAAAGGCGTGTGCCACCACTGCCCAGCTCAAAAGGTATCTAAAATTTAACTCACACCATTTTTCATCTGATCTTTTCCCCACTTTCCATTAGAGACAGAATCTGTGGGTGAATAAAGGAAAACAAGACAGAAGTTTCCAGAAATTCTACTGGTGAATGGTGTGCCTCCTTCAAGCTAACCACTAAGATAGGAAAGCTCTGAATTCTAGGAAATTCTGAGAAATGCTGCCATGGATGGGAAGTGGGGTAAGGAGCCAGGGGATTTTTATTCCTAACTTTCCCACTGTGAAATCTAAAAACAGCCATGTGCTGTACACTTTTACTCTGTGCTTGTTTATGGAAATAAAACTCAGATTAAAAACATGTGCATAAATGTCCTGTTTAAAAATGATTAAATGACACCCATAGTCTTTTTGCTGTCCACATTGCTAGCATGTTGTATACTCAAAAAAACTATGTTAGAAATATATATAAAACATTGTACTTTGACTTCTAATCTATTTAGAATGAAAGATAAAATAACTTGCCAATTTATTACAAAAAAAGTCATTCACTGTAATTTAAAAACAAAAAGCATGAGTCCTCCTTCAAATACAGCTAATTATATTTGGAAACTGTTACCCTACCTATGCTTTTTTTGGAGGGGGGGTGGTTTGAGACAGGGTTTCCCTGTATAGCTCTGGCTGTCCTGGAACTCACTCTGCAGACCAGGCTGGCCTCAAACTCAGAAATCTGCCTGCCTTTGCCTCCCATGTGCTGGGATTAAAGGCGTGCATGCACCACCACTGTCCGGCCTACCTATGCTTAAAGAGGAGACATTACCTGGAGTAACTGTGCAAGTCCTACCTTTTCTTTGCAGCTGGAAAGCATGCTGATAATGCTGAGACAGACTGACTGCACTGAGAGCGCCGGGGACCAGTCTTCTGTTAGAATGGATAAACAGATATGACCATTGCTATACACATGAGGATGAACGGGAATATTTTCACCAGTAAACATGACCTAAGAAAAAATAAAATTCCATTAATACTCAATATTCTCTATTAAAAACTAAAATATTCTCCACATTTAACAAGCATTAATTTTTAAGACATAAAATAAAAACAAACAGAGATTTCAGGAGCAAATGTTCACCTATTACTAATAATTTAGTACCAATCTCACTGCACAAATAACCATGCAGTAGTAGGAACTCCTAGGCTGTTTTCATAGATTGCACTGAAATGTTCTATATTTGTATTTTTTTTTACTAGAAAATGGTAAACTACATTAATACTAATGTTGTTTTTTTTTTACTTAGTCCTCACTAAATACTCATTATTCATCTTTAATTCCAGCACTTGGAAAGCAGAGGCAAGTGGTTCTCAGTCACTGTGAGGCCAGTCTGAACTACATAGTAAGTTCCAAGCTAGTCTGGGCTACAAGCTGAAAGCATATTTAAAAAAATAAATGCAACAAAACAAGACCAAAAAAACCCCAAATAAACAAACAAACAAAACAAACAAACAAACAAAACAAACACATTAAAATTCCCAAAGTATTTAATTCTGATACTATAACAAAAGTCCAATCAAACCTGTTCAGGTAAAATAAGAAAATAATAAGGTGGAGTCTTAATTGGCTGCTGTGTGTCTACTCACTGAAGTCGCTCCTTTATCTTACGTTGGCACAGTTGTAATGGCCTTCCTCTATCCTAACACTTCAAGTAAACCTCCTAAGCATCCAAATAGGAAAGAGAATATATCTGCCTATCTTGAAATTCCATTATTCACATCCCAAGACAATTCAAAGGCAGCAGCAGACTTAGGAACATCTACATGTGTGCCCCACTTTGAAATGTTGGGCAAAGAACTTAGGTCTATGGACATGTTACATACGTGTTCTACTCTGAGCTACGTACGACTCTAAGAGAAATCACTCGATTTTACATAAAATTCAAATTAAAGTAGCCCACCAATCTTATAATTTTATAAGGTAGTAAGGTAGTAATACCATATTAGTTCTGTAGTTTAGCAGTTGTTCCTAATTAGTGACTGCATTGTAAAAAGAAAAATACCGGTACTGCTTGAGTGACGGTCTGGTTAAGAATTCACAATCAGGCTTGGTGTGGCAGAGGGCCACTGCAGGGACAAATTCTGGAATGTCTAAGGTAAGGAATTTTACTTGAGCCTAGAAGTTCAAAGCCAGTTTTGGGAAAACAGCAAAACTTTCTCTCAAATAAACACTAACAAAAATCATAAATATAAATTCAAAGTTGCCAATTCAGAACCATGAGTCCCTACATAAAATTCAATACTTCTCAACCTAGACTAACAGAATCTTAACCCTTGCAAAATACTAGCTACAGCAAAATACCAAGGAGAAACCAAAGTCTGAATTATGATAGAAACTGATGAAACATTTGTTGCTCTATAGCAGATAGTCAGTGAAATCCATCTACCTAGAGTGAGGTATGCCCACATTTAATATAGAATAGATACTGTGAAACTAAAATAAGCTAAGGTTTTTATAGCTAGTTTAAATATCTAGCCACAAATCTGACTTTTTTTCTGACTCTTAGAAACATTCATTTATAAAGCAATTGCTCATTCATTTCAGACCAATTCAATTCATTTATAAACCAATTATTAATGTAATTATAAATTACATTTATAAATCAATTACAGTTGACAGTCTGCTAACATTTTAAATATTATTAACATGCAATACTCAGTAAAAGGATCACTTTCAAACCTGCTTTCCTAAGTGTTTAAGATCTGACCACTCAACTCTAACCTCCCTGCAGAAGAAAGGTAGAAACATGAAGCCAAGGGTCATGATGGGAGACATCAGTCCTTTGTCTGACATGATTGCATGAGCTCTGCTCTTTACCTTTCAACGGCTGTCCTAGGAAATGCCGTCCATTCAGCTGAGGTCACTGCCCTAAAACACCCAGCCCTGAGCACTCTTGAATTCTACATTTTCTGAGTCTACTCACAACTGCTTTTAAAAAGTACCCCCACTCCCCCAAAAAAGGTCTCTTAATCAAGAAGTCTATGAAAATAGTGCCCTGAAAGTGCCAAAAATAAAATAAATAAAAAAAACCTGCCAACTTTTTATTATGGCTGTCAACAATCACCAAGGTGAATACATGGGGAGCCAGATACAAGTCCTGACAGCTGACTACTCATTTCCAGAGCAAAGGAGAAGCAGCGTTCTCCATGATAAAACACTGTTACCAATGGCCATGAGCCAGGAAATGTGCATGGACCCAAAGGAAATTCAGACAGAAGAGATAGTGGTGAAGGTGGGGCAGGCCAGCAGCTATGGCAGGCAAAAGCAGCAGTCGTCTGCAAGCAGAGCAGAGGGCAAGACTAAAACAGCTCCAACAGCACAGAGGCCCAACAGAAGTCAAACCAAGCTCTCTGCTGGGTGCAGTGGCTCCCATCTGAATCCCAGAAGGCTTGGGCAGGATAGAATATTGGGTGAACAGCCTACCTGGACTATGTAGTAAGACCCCGTCTTAAGAAACCAACTGAAAACAAAATTAATTAATCTCAATTAGGCTTCTAACATATATCCATGCATAGCAAATGCAGCCAGTGTAATCTTGAAGTAACCAGACACGGGATAACTTCTTGCACATATTAAGCAACACTTAGGGTCTAGGCACTTTAGAAGCTTGTCTAAGCAGAAAAAGGCTGCCTGACATGCCAGAGATGAATTCCTGAAATAAAGCAAAAGAATTTTTTACAACAGTTTGTTCATGTAAAAGGCATTAATAGTCTTTTCCATTTCCACAGAGAGCTTTACAACACTCTCTGCCACTCTGGCTCTCCACCCAATGTGGGAGAGTAACCGAGGCTAAATTTAAGCAGTGTTTTTCCATCTTGCTTACTACCAAGTATAAATCAATGGAGAAAACTGGGCATTTCTGCTGTAATTCAGGTAAACAGGTACTAGAAACTCCAAATGTTGTTTCTGGAATTGTAACTATAAGCTGTGGTCCCCCCATGCAGCTGATAAAACTGTCTAGGACTGACTGACACAACAAGACCACTGAATGCAAGTGATCTGAAACTACGATTCATTTGGCCTCAGGTCAAAACTAGTTATACAATCACACCATTCAAAGTTAACTGAAAACTATATATACTCCTTGCTGCAGAAACCCTACTGAGGAAAATGACATTTCAGACAGGAAGTAAAGGCTCAACTGTAGCATTTAGAATTAGAACTTTGTCTCTGTATTTTTAATCACTTCCTTATTATTGTGGCTCTTTTTTTTTTTTTTTTTTTTTTGGTTTTTCGAGACAAGGTTTCTCTGTGTAGCCCTGGCTGTCCTGGAACTAACTCTGTAGACCAGGCTAGCCTCCAACTCTCAAACTCAGAAATCCGCCTGCCTCTGCCTCCCAAGTGCTGGGATTAAAGGCGTGCGCCACCACCGCCCGGCGTGGCTCATTTTTCAAAGTAGACAAGAGCTAAGATGTAAGTATACTCAATATAATTTTGGAAGCATATATACCTAGTTCACATTCAGTCTAAACATTTAATCAGACCAATCTTGGAATAACTTTTGAGTATCATGAATGTAGAACCTACTAAAATCCAAACTGAAAGACATCAGAGTGATGAAAACCTACCCAAGACTATCAACATCCACCACTCAAGTTAGGGGGGGAAAGAGGCCATGGGGTCTCCCTGTCACCTAGGCTGGTCACAAATCCCTAGGCTTAAGCATTTCTTCTACAGCAGATTTGAAAGTACCTGACTCATTACTCAAATTTGACAGATGCTAACAATAGTTTGATGTGATAGTTACCAATATCTATAACAATCTAATATAAAACAGCTACAACTAGACATTTAACTATATACTGCAGTATGTTTGCAGTTTCCTGAAGTCTTCACATAATTACTAAGAAAAAAGGGATGGTGTTCAGGTAACTTTTGAATTTTATATATGAAAGTTAGTTACCTGACCGCCATCCCTTCATTCCTAGTAAATTCAAAAATTTCCCAACATCAAGTACAATAATGAAAGACCTCACAGCACTTATTTACAAAGAAGATACAACAGTGTTTCATGAGCAGCTTGAAAAAGAAATATGTTTCCTAATATATGTCAAGCTAGGTCCAAACAGTATTCATACAATGAACAAAACAAAATGAGCTATCTACAGCCAGGAAGGGTAGCTCAGTGGTGGTTCACCTGTAATGCATAAGCCCTAGATTAGCAATCAGTTTCTAGATTTGGGATGTAGAGGACCCAGCCAGAAAGTCAACCAAACACCAGGGTGTAATTTTAAAAACAAATCTATCCGTCATTTAGATACCAAAGCTTCCTGTCAGGGACAACATGAGACAAGGTTTTCTCCTATGATCAGCATAGCCAGAATAGTGGTCCATACCTGTAAATCCTAGCACTTGGGAGGTAAAAACAGGAGGACCAGGTGCTCCAAATCATCCTTGGCTACAGAGCAAGTTTAAGGCCAGCCTAGGATACATGATGCCATGTCTCAAGCAACCAAAATAAAAAGTAAATAAAACATAAAAGTGTAACATCTGATATAGAAAAGTTAGGATTAGTAACTGACAAAAGTGGCCAGGGAGGTCATGTACATAGAGGTAACACACAGGTATATTTGTTGTTTTTAGGAATGAGTGTATATGACTGTAACAAAGAGGCCATGTCTCAAACAGCCAAAAATAAATAAAATTTAAAAATGTAACGTATGATATAGCAAAGTTAGGCCTAATACTAACCTACAAAATAGTCAGGAACATCATATACATTCAGGTAATATACATACAGGTAATATTACACATACAGATTAGGTTGTATTTACGAGTGTGTGTATGCAAGAGTTAGATATAGGTAGGTAGGTAGGTAGGTAGATAGATAGATAGATAGATAGATAGATAGATAGATAGATAGATAGATAGACAGATGATAGATAGACAGACAGACAGGATAAAAGAGGCTACAAATTTGAGACAAAGAGCCAAGGGGTGCATGGGAG